AGATGAATTTATCGATCCGAACAAGGACATCATCGATTATACCCAAAGGCCGCTTCATTGACCTATCCGCCATTTGGAGCCTCATTGAAGTCGGGCGAGGTTGTCCGATTCCCAAAGTCTTGAAAACCGAATATGCATTAAGTTGATACTCGCCCCCAAGTCATAAAGGGCTTTTGCAAAGTCGGCACTTCCAATGGTACACGGGATGGTGAATGCACCGGGGTCCTCAAGTTTTGGAGCCATGGAGTGTACAATTGCGCTCACTTTATGGGTCATCTTGATTGTCTCACACTCCATTGATCTCTTTTTTGTGACCAAATCCTTCATGAATTTTGCGTACCCCGGCATTTGCTCGAGTGCCTCCACCAAAGGCACATTGATAGTCAAACTATTCATCATCTCAATGAATTTCTTGAATTGGTTGTCTCCTTTTTGCTTGGCCAACCGTTGAGGATTGGGCAGAGGAGGCCTAGGCAAGGGTGCCTTGGCTTTGGGCACCACCGGCTCGGGCATATCAATCGCGTGTTCCCTAGACGGGTTCACGGCCTCTTGTGTCTCCTCCTCACCCTCATGAATATCAATCCGCACATCGTTTCTCACACTTGGTTCCACTACATCTTCAACCCCCAAAGGCATATCATCATGGCAACTCATCTTCATCAACCATAACTTGATTTTCTCTTGAGGCATGCACATCACCGCCTCTTCCACTTCGCGTGGTCACCGCCATCACATGATTGTTGTGCCCACCCTTAGGGTTTACTACCGTATCACTTGGTAGATCACCCTTAGGGCGAGTATTCAAAGCTTGAGAAATTTGTCCTATTTGCACCTCCAAGTTCCGGATAGATGTATTGTGAGAAGCCAATTGAGCATCGGAATCGTGGTTCTTTTTCATCATTTGCTCAAACATCATCTCTATTCTCCCCATATCACTTCCGGAAGAGCTAGACCCTTGAGATTAAAACGGCGGCGGGTTGTTCGGTTGTTGAAACATCGGAGGCCTTTGAAAGCCTTGCCCCCGATTACCTTGACCACCATTATTGTTCCACCCACCTTGACCATTGTTGTTGTTCCAATTGCTATTGTTCTCATTCCAATTTCCACCATTGTTTCCTTGATTCCCCCAATTTTTGTTTTGATTATTCCCGTTCCAATTTCCACAACTTTGTTGTTGATTTGTTGTTATTCCAATTTTCCGCTTCCTTGTTGATTTGCCCCAATTTTCCTTGGGGGACGCCATTGTTTGATTTCCCTGGTTTCCTTATTCCCTTGGTAGTTGTTAACATATTGACATTCTTCACTTTGCTCATCATAGCACTCGTTCGAATAACCACTACCATCATCATAGTTATCACAGTTTCCTTGAGGTTGTTGCCCTCTTTGCCTTCGTTTCATCATATTCACTTCCTTCCATGGCATTGACTTGGCGCGGGGTTTTGAACTTGTTGCAATTGCGCCTTTGCCAATTGATTCATTGTTGTTGTAAGTTCGGCAATGGCTTGGACATGATCATGCAACTCCTTATGCAAATGTATGACATTAGGATCACCTTGAGGAACGTTTGCCCGGTTTTCCACGCCGAAGAAGTATCGGACATTTCATCTAACACATCACAAGCTTCATTGTAAGGAAGCTTCATAAAATGCCTCCCGCCAATTGGTTCACAATACATTGGTTGGTTGTGTTAATGCCCCTATAGAATGTTTGTTGAATCATCACATCGGTCATATCATTATTGGCAACTCTTTAACCATAGTTCTAAATCTCTCCCATATTTCGTGCAAGGGTTTCTGTTGGCTCTTGTTTTGAAAGCCAAAATTTCATCACGGAGCGCCTCCATGTGACTTGGAGAAAAAGAACTTGGCAATGAATTTGTCCGCCAATTCGTCCCATATGGTGATAGAATGATTCCGTAACTCTTTCCAACCAATTTAGCGCTTTACCCCGAAGAGAAACGGGAAAAGCCTCAATCTCAACGCATCCTCGGACATGTTTGTTTGTTTACTTCCCCAGCAAGTTATCTACGAACCCTTCAAGTGCTTGTATGCATTTGGTCGAGGCGCCCGTAAAATACCCTCTTTGCTCGAGAAGCGTCAACATAACATTGGTGATTTGAAAATTCCCCGCCGGGATTTGGGGAGGAACTATGGCACTTGCATAACCCTGGTTTGGAAGGACTCTTGGGGCCACTCTTGGCGGTGGCGGAGGAGGGTCTGGGATTTGGTCATTTGGATTTGCATTGGCATTTCTAGCTCTCCGTGGTACTTGAGGTACCGGAAGCTCATCTTGATCAACATCTTCAACCTCCTCCCCCGCCAAGGCATTGCCAAGAGGGTCATTTCCGTTTAGAGCCATATGCACCTGATGGATCGACCCAAACAAGATTAGTTAAATAGAAGGAAAGAGAAGCAAAACACAAAACTAGCTACACAGATAGTCAACACCGTAAGCACCCCGGCAACGGCGCCAAAAAGTGATCGCAGCAAACTCAACCTTACACAACGGTAGGAAGAGCGGGCGCTAAGACTTTTACCCGAATAGTGGTATCGGGGTCGATTTTCCACAGGGAGCTTGGAATGGAGTTGCGTATTTGTATAGACTAAGAATGCGTTTGTGCTTCTAATGTCACTTCAAACATTTTTGGGTTTTCTTTTTATCAACTACTAACTTTAAAACTAATGATTAACTAAATTATACTAAAGAGATATTTTCTAAGTTGTGATTAACTATTGGAGAAAAGCACTAGGGTCGTGACACTACCTAGGTAGCTAGCTAACGGGTCGAAGTAACTAAGGGGAGATTGATAATTTGGGGCTTATGTTATAACCGTTGCACAATTGTATTCATTCTCACACCTCTCGGTAGAGAGAACGATTTCGCCCAATTGACTCTTTAGAGACCAATTGGGTAGGCCAATTTGACCAAGCAACTAGGGTTCAAGTAGGGTAATTACTCTCTCGAGGTTTAACTCGTTAATTGGGACTACCATTCTCATGGGTCCATCCCAATTTCCTTGTTGGGTCAACTTTAAGGTCATAGACTCTCTTTCTCAAGAAGAGTTAGACCCACTAAGCTTTGAATTCATGTTTGCAACCACATATTCTAGATTGAAACACAAAATTAACCCAAATAACAAACACCCAATCTCAATCTCACCCTAGAATTCAACACCCATTAACTACCCACACTAGGGTTGAGCCACGACCCTAGCTAATGGGTTTAGCTAGACATAATTAGAGAAGAAACAGATGAAATAGAAGATGAAACAACCATATTGATTAATTGCTAATGTTAAACTACAATAATCTATGATAAAATAAGCTCAAAATGCCAAAAATAGGCCAATACAAATGTCTCACGAGCGCAACAACTATCAGGTGTACCAAACTTGACCTAAAAATGGTAAAATATTCTATTTATACTAGGCTGGAAAAATCGACAAAACTGCCCCTGCAGGGTCCGTGCGGGCCGCACAAACACGACCGCGGCCGCACTTGACTATTTGACTTCTAATTCTTGCTCTCTGCAACAGGTGCGTACCGCATAAATTTGACACGAGACCGCATGGAGACCGGGGCGGGCCGCGTGAACCTGTCGTGCGGCCGCATGAGTGGCTTGTGATGGGCTCTAAACTCTTGTGGTGCGGTCCGCATGAACCTGTAGTGCGGCTGCATTGATTGGTTGCGGACCGCGTGAGCTTGACCGCGGCCGCATCGCTTGCACTTGGAAAAGACAACTTTCTGAATCTCTTTGGTGTGACCGCAGGTCACGATTGCGCGGGCGCATGAAATGGACCAGCAACTTATGCCTTCTCTGAACTTCTCTGAAGCGGTCGCATGACATGATGGTGCGGTCCGCACCAAGCTCTGAACTTCATCACTTCAATGATCTATGACACTTGAGCAGGTTTTACTCCGTTTTGAGCCGATTTTTTACTTTTGTCATCTTGTCTCTCAAACCTGCAATCAAGCGCAACTTGTAAGCATTGTGGGCCTATTTTATGGTAATTTATACACAATGCATAGGCAAGTATGGGCATAAAACGTGTTAAAATCATAGTTATCACTGATCAAAAGCCGATTATATTGGGGAGACTTTATGATAACTTTTAGGTCTAATCCGCACAAGAGCTGCTGCATGCAAAATAGCATGGCCCCATGCTGAAATGGGAATTTTTGTTCTCAAAAGCATTGGTCTAGCAATTAATTGGAGGCATTTGATCAATGATTCTGCTAGACCATTTTGAGTATGAACATGAGCAACTGGATGCTCAATTGTTATCCCAGTTGATATGCAATAATCGTTAAACGCCTGGGACGTAAATTCACCAACATTATCAAGACGAAGTGTCTTAATTGCATAATCTGGAAACTTTGCTCTTAATCTTATTAATTGAGCTAGTAACCTCGCAAAGGCCAAATTGCGGGTTGATAACAAGCACACATGTGACCATCTTGTAGATGCATCTATCAAAACCATATAATATCTGAATGGTCCACATGGAGGGTGTATGGGCCCACATATATCACCTTGTATACATTCAAAAAATGCAGGAGATTCAACTCCAACTTTAATTACTGATGGTCTAATAATCAATTTTCCTTGAGAACATGCAGCACTAGAGAATTCTTTAGTTTGAAGAATCTTCTAGTTCTTCAGTGAATAACCATGTGAATTCTCAATTATTTTGCGCATCATATTATAACCGGGATGGCCCAACCGGTCATGCCAAATAATAAAATCACTAGTAAACTTCTTGTTTACTGTGGCATGTGATTCAACTACACTAATATTAGTGTAGTATAATCCAGAGGAAAATGCGGGAAACTTTTCAAGCACATACTTCTTTTCCGCTTTTATTGTAGTAATATAAAGGTATTCAACGTTTCCTTCATTGGTAGTCTCAATATGATAGCCATTTTGGCGAATATCTTTGAAACTCAACAAGTTTCTTTGAGACCTACTACAATATAATGCATCATTTACAGCCAATATAGTTCCTCCTGGTAGTAACACAGTAGCTCTTCCAGAGCCCTCAATTAATTTTGTACTACCAGATATTGTAATTATATTGGCTTCTTTCATAATTAAATAAGAGAAATATCTCTTATCTTTTAATATGGTGTGCGTCGTAGCACTATCCAGAAGACATATTTCTTCTTTATTATTCATACGGTCAACTTGGATCAATCATTCCCAGATTCGCTTCTGGAAATGGAGCTAATCCAATGGGGCGGGCATCGTGATTTTTCATTAAAAGAGCATTATGTTGTTCGGCCACCAAAAGGCATGAAATTAACTCTGAATATTTTTTAAAGCCCTTTTCACAATATTGTTGTTGTAACACCATATTTGACGCATGAAAAGTGGAAACAGTCTTTTCCAGCATGTCCTCATCATTCATAGGTTCCCCACATAATTTTAGTTGGGAAATTATACTATATACAGCAGAATTATATTCACTTATGGTCTTATAATCTTGTAGTCGTAAGTGCATCCACTCACGACCAGCTCTCGGCAATACCGTGGCCTTTAGGTGGTCATATCGTTCCTTTAAACTAGTCCTTAATTGAAATAGATCTTTCAAGGTTAAATATTCACTTTTTAACCCTTCATCGAGATGATGGCGAAGGAAAATCATGGCTTTCGCCTTATCCTGACTTGATGCTTCATTTCCTTCTTTAATAGTGTCACCAAGACCTTTAGCGTCAAGGTGAATTTCAGCATCAAGTACCCATGGCAAATAGCTATTTCCAGAGATGTCAAGTGCCATAAATTCAAGCTTTTGATAAATTCGACATAGTGAAAACTATCATAAAAATAAGTGAATTAGAATGACAAGAATTATTACCAATGAAAAAATTCAGTGCAGTACATAATCGTGTATTAATATTCTATATGTAGGTTTATCAAATAATTATGTGCAGTGCGATGATAAATTAGTGTTTAATATTACCCACCAAAACTTTAGACGTGTAAGTATATTTTCATTGAATAAATAAGTGAATTAATATGTACTAGTTTAATTTTGTTCTACTTAGAATACGTTTCAATAAGCTAACTAGGCATAAAACTAGATGATATGAATTCTGACAAGTTTGAACAATCAATACGATACATCTAATAGTTAAGTCGTTAATTTTAAAGTCATTAATTAGTTTGTACACTTAGGTGATAAATTTATTGAATACATATTTAAACCTTTTGAAAATTTTGCAAGAATTCCTTCTAAATGCATATTTTGTTAGAATATTTGGACGTCGACTTCATTAGTCTAATTATTTTAATTCTATTTTGATACTTGTTTATTTATGTGTATGATTAAACTTCTTCGTAAAAATATGTAATGAAAAAACAAATTAACTGAAACTTATTATTTTCATACTAATGCAATTATTATAATCATATTCAAAACAAGTTATGCATATGGTAATTCATTGCATGTTAAAGAAGATCCTAATAGAAACATTATAAACATAGGAATGTATACCTGAATCGGAAAAGAAACTGACTACCTCTTTTGAAGAAGATAAAATTCCGATGAAGCAGAAAACCTCAGTTGGTTAGAACCTCGTGTTGATAACGTATTAAGAAATGAGAGAAAAATAGAATAATATAGTAATAGAGACAAGATGTAAAGGAGGAGAATGTAGAAGCTATCTTATTCAAGTGTGTTTCTTGTGTGTTCTTCATAGGATAAAGAATACCCTATTTATAGGATATAAGATACATGAAAGGTTACAAGAATACACCTAAAGGTTACAAATATTAAGTGATGAATTAACTAAGTACATGAACTCAAATGGTTCATGGAATAGGGATGTCTAGGAGTATTCAATGGACATCCACTCTAACATATTCATAACATATAACAATTTTGTCCCGTCATTTATTTCTTATCCTATCTCAGCGTCCTAACTAAATTTGTAGAGAATTCATCTACACTATCTTTTAGAGGATTTAGAAATAAAATACCTTTTCGTAAAAGAATCTGGTAACTAGCTAGAAGAAAGGTGTAGCTAATTTATAGCAATTAAAATAAGTCCTTATTAAATAATACTAGTTAAATCTCAAGTCAATCATTTTTCTTAAATTTGTAGGGGTTGGCGCTTAAAATCTTTAGTAATATTATTTTCATAGAACACTATATCTCAAATCCTTAAAAATCGCTAAACATCTATGCACTCTTCCACGTCTCTTCATTCCTCTAAACCCTCAACTATCATCTTCTAATTCAGTGAAGGGAAACAACTTTCTATCACTGTCGCTTGTAAGCTTCTTGTTAAAATTTCTCCGGTACGTAAAGCATCTCTGCAAATAGGTCTTTCCATGAGTGTTTAACTTATCGTGAGTGATCAATACCTTCCTAGCACCAAGAATTATTGTCGTCGTTTAATTTAGCATAACTATGAACTAACAGAGAGCACTTCCCCCAATGATTCATATTTCCTATATTATTATAGAATTGAACTTTCAATAATGTGATATAAGATGTTTCTATGTATATGTATTGTTTGGTTTCTGTTGATTATTAGATTGTTATCCTTATATTTTTATTCAATAACCATTTCTGGGTTTGAGAAAAAAATAATGAAGATATATTTTTCATATGGTTAACCAAGTAAAATTATTTCCAAAGAGGGCAACATGATAAGTGAAGATGATTGAAATTAATATAATTTTATACTCTTAGTATATGATAGGAGAAACAAAAAAGCTTATGTGTCCTTTGTAAGTTTACTAGCAAACAAAGCTGAAGTCATATACTTTTTAAAATAAATAAACTCCACTTACAAACATGTGTTTAATAGAAAACAGAGGCAACCTCTACTAGTTCTCTTCTCTTTACTCTTCCAAATTTGGTGCTATTGTATTGGGTGATACCCTTTTTTGCTTGAGCCCGACCGGGTTGGGTCTGGTCCGGAGCAAGTCGGGGCCATCGAACCCGACCTGGATGCAAGGTAGAACGACGGCCACGTCAACAACCGAGGTCGAGTCATTTCGAGACCGTTGCAGAGCTCGATATGAGTCACCACCGGATGGAGAAACACACAAGGTCGGAAGCCGGACTCGTAACGGATAACCAAGCGTCGCCGGATATCTCGCCCAAACGTGATTTTCTCAACCACTTCAGGCCATTAAGGCGTAATTACAGGGATCCACGATGTAATTAATTTACCTACCTTATTTTTACCCTTAATCAGAATGTATAAAAGGGGAGAAGACCCCATAAAGAGGGGATCGAAAACCATTACACTACAGTACCATCTCTCTCAATTCTTGTACGCTATCAAGCACAATTGTTCTAAGCAATATTATATTCTGCGATTATTTACTTTAGCAGCAATTGTTGAGTCTTTATCTTTTATTTTCCTCATTCCAAACCTTTTGTATCTTTTAGTTCACGGATCCTTAAAACCCCATATAAATTCAATTGTTATCCGGATTCCAGGGTAAACAGCTATCAATCTGCTTAAATTGGTGAAATAATTAATATATTATAAAGTACTGAAGTAGTGTTTCTGTTTTATCATTGTTTGTTAGATAGGAAGCATGAGTTCCTTTAGAGCTGATCGTATATGGATGTATAATGCACTAGTGCCTAGTCGAAAAGGAGTTACTATTGAGTTCCTAGAGGGTGTGCATGGATTTGTAGAGTTTGCATTAATGCAACATGACTTCGTTTCTTATAGGAGTATAAGGTGTCCATGTTCAAGATGTAGAAACATTATTGGGTTTCTTGAACCTCATGATGTTAAAGTACATCCGTACAAGCATGGTTTCATGCCTAACTATTATCAATAGGAGTCACATGGGAAGTCTTTTGTACCAATTTATAGACCTCAACCTAGTAGAAATACAGAAAAAGAAATATGTCCTGAAATAATAACAGAAAATCCGTATAGCACTATGGTATTGGATGCAATTGGTCATAGTTTCAACTTTGAAAGTGATGGATTTAATTTTGATGGTGAAGAAGAACATCCTCCTAATCGAAATGTTCAAGAATTTTTTGATATGCTAAAAGTTTCTGAAGAGCCATTGTTTGATGGATGTGTTAATCATTCTATGTTGTCGGCGGTCTGCAGACTACTGAACATTAAGTCTGAGTTTAACATGAGTGACAATTGCTATAACCAAATTTTTCTATTTCTTAAGGAGATCTTACCTGAAGATGCTAAGTTACCTAACAATTACTATAGACTAAACAAATGATTGCAAAACTTGGGCCAGGATATGAAAAGATAGTTATATGTAAGATAGGTTGTATCTTATATTACAATGATAATAAAGATAAAGTGGATTGTCCAAAGTATGACCACGTTATAATCCTAAGAGAGGAGGCAATGGAAGGCAAAAAGATGTTGCATATAAAGTACTACGTCATTTTCCTATAGCTCCGAAATTACAAAGGTTATATATGTCAATAAAGACTGCTGAAAATATGACATGCCACTGGAAATCTCATCGAGAACCTGGGGTAATGAGTCATCCAAGTGATGGAGAGGCATGGAAAAAGTTTGACCAATGCCATCCTAGCTTTGCAGCTGAGCCTCGAAATATTAGTCTTGGACTTGCAGCCGATTGGTTTAGTCCATATGGGCAGATGGCCCATCCTTATTCTTGTTGGCCAGTAATCATTACACCATATAATCTTCCACCCGACATGTATATGAGTAGCCCGTACATGTACTTAAGTCTTCTCATTCCTGGTCCAAAAAGCCCCGAAAAAAATATAGACTTACACTTACAACTTCTTATTGATGAATTAAAGAAATTATGGGTTGATGGGGTTGAGACTTATGACTCTTATAAGAAACAAAATTTTCCAATGCGAGCTGCACTTATGTGGGCTATCAATGACTTCCCAGCTTCGGGAATGTTGTCTAGCTAGAGCACCCAGTTGTATGGGAAAAAGTAAGGCGTTTCACTTAAAAGATGGAAGAAAAGCTTCATATTTTGATTGTCATCATCAATTTTTTCCAATAGGACATTCATTTTGCAAGGATAAAAAATTATTTTTAAAAGAAAGAGTTGAACACTCTGCTCCTTCTCCTAGTTTGTCTAGTGAAGAAGCTTGGAACAAAGTGCGTGACTTACCAAATATTTTCGATGATCGCGCCTCCGATAAGTTTCCAGGATTTGGGGATCAACATAATTGGGCAAAACAAAGTATTTTCTGGGAATTGCTATATTGACGCACGAATATTATTCGGCATAATCATGATGTCATGCATATTGAGAAAATGTGTTTGATAATATATTCAACACAGTAATGGATGAAAAGGATAAAATGAATGATAATTTAAAAGCTAGGATGGATGTACATACATATTGCAATCATCCCGAGCTTGAATTGAAGGAGGATCAAGAGAAAATTTTGAAGCCAAAGGCATCATATTCATTGACAAAAGAACAAAGAAAGTTGGTATGTGAATAGGTTAAAAGCTTAAGATTTTCAAATGGTTATGCTTCAAATTTTTCTAGATGTATAGACATGGAAGATTATAAATTATCAAGGATGAAGAGCCACGATTGTCATGTATTTCTAGAAAGGTTGTTACCAGTTGCATTTCGACATTTTTTGCTAGAGCCAATTTGGAATGCCTTAACAGAGTTAGCTTATGTTTTAAAGGTTTATTTGCAATTGTTTTAAAAGTAGAGACTTACATATGCTTGAAAAAAGTAAAGATAACAATTTGCAAGATAGATGTACGCGGCAAAATCAGAGGACTAGATTTATCGCTATCATGATATTTCGGGAGCATGCCCCGAGACCCCGAGGGCGGGAGGCCGCAATCGAGTTCTCAACCTCGGGGTTCGTCGAAGCCCGACTCAGAGGGAACGGAGGCCAGGATCAGGACAGAAGGGGAAGCCCCATAGGAAAACATGGCTACATCTGACAGGCCCGACCTATCTAGAACCTACAATGAGGCCTTGCATCAAGCTGTCCCATATTCATACTCTTGTAATCAATATACATGTACTTATAGCCGAGTTCACCTCCTATATAAAGAGGACTCACCCTACCTCGTAAACGACTGATGTTGCTCCACTTCTCCAAAAATGCAATAATATTTCTCTCTCTCTCTCTCTGTCTTTCTCTCTCTCTCTCTCTCTCTCTTTCTTTTAAACTATCTATCTTCATTGGCCCGAGGTCGCTTTAGTACTTTATCGTTTTCTCTTTTGTTCTTTGTTACTTTTCTCAATATTGATAATATAGAACCTTTCTTAGCTATATTTTTGCCTGTTATCCCTTTCCCGACTGCCCTAGACAGCTTGAGATAGGCTCGAATCCCGACCCCAAGGTATCCGTAGGCCGACTTTGCATCCGGGCAACAGCCTCTCATTGGTTCGATTACTGCCTTGCTTAACTCACTTTTCGTCCTTTTACTTCGCGTTTTCAGCACTAACTGTCCTAACAAACTAGCTCGGGAATAGATCACGTATTTTTAGAATCCCTTTTACAAATACAATTGTCGTTATCATTTTCACGATAAACAGATTGGCGCCCACCGTGGGGCTAAAAATAATAGTGATTATTTTCTTGCTAGTTTCGTCACTCGAACGCATGTTATCTTTCACACTTTTTCTTGCCCAAGATCTTTTGATTTCAGGTTAATGTCCGGCTCGGTAAGCGAAATCGAGAACGACAACCCCGCA